ACCTATTGATCGTAGAACGATACCTTGAACGGTTACGACATTGTTCCATATACTATCATAGCCTATTGTGTCTGATGAAGCACGCGGTATAGTTCGCCAATTTCGCGTGATGGTCCCGAGAAGCGCGATCAATCTTGGATGCTGACTTTTTTACCGAGAAAAAGAGCACTGTCCTCTCTTAAAAATATTTATTATCATGCTTTAGCGGCCTTTTCACGTGTCGTTCATGTGAGTAAAGTGGCGATCTTTTTTTCAACCGCACGACACGTTTAAGTATTTTACGAGCTAAGATTAATCGCTCGCTTACAGTTTTATCTAACTAGAAGGGATTCTAAATGCGTCGCTTTAAGCGCAAGAAGCTGAATACCATTATCAATCTTGCAAGTTACTTAGTTAATATAAAAACCGGTGTTATAATTTCTTACGTATGAAAGTCGGATTAGAAAGAAAACATGCGTGACGTGTATGCAATGAGAACATACATATTGCATATATCTTACATGTAGCTACTATATATTATTATCTATAGAGTATAATAATTATACTCTATAATTATACTATTTTAACTTTGAATTTATTTATTTAGATTATTTATTTATAATAATTTAATATCTTCTATTTTATTTTATCTAAAATTTTGTATCTTATACTCTTGAACAAAACGAAAACCTTTGAAGTACCAATAATAATGAGATAAAATACTAATTAGAATTAAGAACAGGCGTTCGATCAAAAAATTGACATTCCCTAATTACAAAACGCTTTAATACTATCAACAATATTAAACCAATCTCTCCTTTTATATTAAGAACCTTTTTGCGTAGAAATTTATTAATAGCAACAAATAATTTTATGTTGTTCTCGATATTTTTAATACGCAGAAAAATGCAATCGTTACCCCGAGAAAAATTCAGTACTTAATGAGTTCTATCAGATTATATTGTCAAATTATAAAAGCTCAACAGTCCTGTGTATCTAAAAATTTGTGTAAAAATGTTTTTTCACATTTTTCAGATAGTAATTATAGATAATACATCATAGATGAATTACTTGATGTAATCATAAAATTTTGATAATTTCTAACTTAGAATATTAGTACAATAATCAATATTATAATATAGTAAATAGCTGATATTTATCAAGAATTATTATACACGTATTTCTATCAATTTTCAATGTCGAACTCTGAAACATATTTAAATTGCAAATAGCAGAGAGTCATTACTGCAAGATAAAAATTCTTTTTGAGGAAATGCAGCGAGACGTGTATTAAAAAGGTGGATGCAACTACATTAAAGTTAATGCGGATAAGAAACTGATACATTCGTCAAAAAACGCTGCTATGTAGGAGGAAGGGAAATATATCGAGCGTGCATTCAAGTACGCCCGCGTCAATGACGCGCGACCAAGGCCAAGGATCGTAATTTTTTATCAACGTGTCTCAAACGTCTCAATGACGATGAGATATGTAACGACAAAATTAATCGCGGAGAAGGTCGCGAATATTCTCAAGCGCGTTGCCCACTTACGTCTGTAATCCGACGCCAGCAATTTGCTAATGCATTTCTGTGACTTTTCCTATTTAAAAACTAATTCGCAAGCGCCTGAAATAAAAAAAATAGACACGCATAAAAATAACTCGAGCTAACTTTAGGTTTGTTTTTTGTTGCTGCACTGGACTGCATTAAAACTTTCCTTCTCGCTCTTGCTAAATAGGAAACATAAATCTATTTTTAAACTGCAAAGAGTGTACGCTCTAGTTTTCAGCTATAAAAACATATCTATAATATATATTTTATTTTCACCGAAGTATGGTATGTGCGTCAAATTCGAATGAAACTCGCGGAGTGTTTTATCTAAATGAAGAATTTTGATACCGTTAATCGTTTTAATATTCATAATTAAAACGAGTGTTAAAAAATGTATGTATTGTCTACATTTTATTTACTTAAACATCCATTTTTATTTTTATTTCTATTTCACTAAATCGTTAGTTTTTACAGATCGTTAACCAGTTACAATAAATAGAAGAAAAAATACAGGCGTTGGAATTCTATATAAATTCCGAATGCGCAAGAAACAGATGCCCACCCGCTTTACCATCAATTTCGTGCCGCTTTCCGCGTGATCCAAATTATCGTTGTTTAACATGCTTTTTGCGTGATCCGGTAGCTTTTACGCGCAATGAAATCGTACTGTTTGTACGTGAAGTCGAGAGAGATGCCCTTCATATCCAGGCGAGAAATACGGAGTTCTTTCGCATACGTGCGCAGGAATCGAATTGAATCTAGATTCAAAGATAGATTCACCATACAGATGTAGCGCGAGAACGTTTATTTATCTAATATATATATTTGCATATTTCTCTTTTATTTATCTTATCTAAATATAATCTAATCATAATTGGTTTCCGCTTAAGGCTTCTTTCTGATGACTAGTCCGCGAACGAATATTTGAATCGTGACGTTATAAGAGAAACTTCAACATGTCATTTCTCGCTTACACTGTTAGATATCAAAGAACCAATGGTAACGCAATCTCTTGAGATAAATAACATTTTGTTATTTTTAATTTCCATTTATATCAAAATGTAAATCAATCTATTTCTGTAGTCTATAAGTTTCAAAGTAAACATCGTCCATATTATACACTTGTTAGTAAATAGTAAACTAAATTTAAATCAAATTGAATGCATTTTCTTGAGTTTAAATTGTTTAACCTTATTGTTTAAGTCAAATTAACGACATAACCACTGGGTAGAAACAGTGGCGACCTATAGATACCTATGATTAAAAATAACTTAAATTGGGTATAATTTGACATAATGAATTTAGCAGTGTATGACACGACTATAATTGCGACCACCAGTCAGTAAGCCTTAATAAAGAATATATCTTCGAAAAAAACTATATTAAATATGAACTTCAGTTTAATAGCAAGCACCTATTTTTTTCTCTTTCATTCTTATATAATCTGTTGAGGATATACGGAAACAAGAAATTACAAGTATACTTGATCCCTTCATCGAGACTTATCCATACGGTCGAGATGTAATCGTGGAGGAACAAGCGGAATGCCCCAAGGGTTAGAAAATAATATCTAGCTGTCGGTCCTCAGTCGAGGGAGAGAATCTCTCGAGTATAAGTAGAAGAGTCCAATTAGACAACCGGCTGTCGAGAAGCAGACGTCCGCGGAAATTCTGCTTCGTTTGTGATTTCGAAGAGAGGAACAGTTTATCGAAATAATATAGATCCTTCAGCCGCGGGCTAAAGGGAATAAACGTTGGAAATGTGAGCAATATCGTGAGACGATCAGACAGCGTGGCAAGAAGATCGAAACACGAATATATGTTAAGAGAGTTACGCGCACAAGCTCGACGCGGTTGTGCCGTGCTTTCCAGCTTTCCAGCTTTCCGCAGAGTGTGCTTTATAATTTATCTTGCAGCAACGTCGGCGGA